TAATTATTATATTGTAATAATAATTGTAACATAATAATTATTATAATTGTTATACTGTTATAATATTATTGTATATATTGTAATATGTATTATATAATCATTATTATAATTATTATATTATTACATTATAATATATATTATATAACAATAATTATAACATAATAATATAACAATATAATAATATTAATTATAACATAGTAATTATTATAATTATTACATTACAATATATATTATATAATAATAATTATAACATAATAATATAATAATTATAAAAAGAGAAAATCCAAACTAGATTCAAGTACGAGAAAGTAGTCAAATCATCAGTCAAACGATGGCAATTTTTAAAAATGAGCGTGCCCGGTGCTCTTGGATCAGCCTGTAGATGCCTGTAGGGACGTCGGTTTTTTTCTCTCCTGCCCATTCATGCTCGCTTAGCTATAAACGACACGAGCAAACAGACACACAGGTGTGCCAGCAGAGACCATTCCACTCCAATTAAACGTGCTTAATTATCGTTGCGAAGGATCTAGATATCTTCGAAAACAAAAAAAAAAAAAAAAAAATAAACTTCAACGCACGATAATCGTGCACGAGAATCTTCGAGAACTTTGCAACACTTTGTTTTGGAGATCGATTGAAAACAACGTCGGGACAACGAAGGAAAGAAAAAAAACTGGAACAAGCGCAGAAGCAAAATGTCTGAACTCGATTCGAATGAAATTTCGGAAGAGGAACAACGAGGAGAAAGAAACGAAAGAAAGTTAGAAGAAACGAAGTTGCGATGTAAACGAGGTGCACGGCAGGTGCATGGAAGGATCTATTTACAGGAGGCAGTTTGCCACGCCAGCGACCTAATTAATAGCGCTTAATTACTATCGACGTGCGTGCGCGTAACGGCGTAACAGTGTTTCGCAATCTTCAAGAGCTCGGCGTGCCTTGTGGAAACAACGCCGCGCACACCTACGTACGTACACACGTACATACGGCAGATAATCGCTGATAACTGAGAAACGAAAATATCCACGCGCGCGTTCCCGCGCTGTTTTTCCACGAGCATTTCCATTTGCATATCGCCGTGTTGACACGCCGTGTTTGCAGTTGCCCCGCCGGTGGCGCATCGCGATGATATCACACCGAAACAAATACACAGGACGAGAAGCAGCTTAGCAATTGCCTGCGATTAAGCAGAAGCATCATCAGCAATTTGCAAACATCCAAATATCGTGATCTAGGTTTTGCGATCGTACCATTAATCCATCATCAGCAATTTGC